ACCCGTGTTAGGAATCACACGGTAGAAGGTAAGACCTCGTTGATCCTTAGCTCGCACAAGTTTCGACTTCTGTAGGGGTGCGAAAATAACATATTTTCAAACATATTTTTCTTCTTGTAATGATTGAAGTGAATAGTAAAAATATTATTATTATTATTAATTAACGTACTATAAGTAGAGATGAAATTCTTCTCTTGAGAGTCTCCTAAAAGAAGCCTCGATCGATGTTACAAAAAAGCACCTGCTCCGTCTATTTGATAATTAACATAGAGTGTTCGAGTTTGCTTCAGAGAACTTCGTTTCATAAATATCTCGAAATCAACCGACTTGTCAATAATTCACTCCGTTTGACTTACGTTAGCTTTCCCTTCAATTTTGTTTGCAGTTTTAATATTAAATTAGAACATTTTTAATTGGAAGAAATTCCTTAAAGAAAATCTGGAAATGTTTGGGACGAGGAAAATGTTAATTATCAATTTTGCTTTGATTCCTCGAAACAAGCATGGGAGTCGAATATTCGGAGAACGGCCTCCCGTAAATCTTTTTCAATTTCTGTAAGGAATTCAATTTCGGGAATTACCAGAGAAACATTCATAAAAAAGCCGGTCAAGGCATATTTCACATTTTGAATTAAAGGAAAATAATTATCATATTCCCTAATTCATTCATCTCCGACACTCGGAGTTATTTGGACAGCTTTATTAATAACTTTTTAAAATTCGTTTTCTTTGACATGTCCTCCTCACAATTTTTTTGAGGTTGGAAAATTGTATTATTTTTATATACGATCTGATATACAGAATCCTCTAGGAATCGTCACATTTTTGGGGAGGAATCTTCGTGTTGTATAGGTGAATTTTGTTAAAAAAAAATCTATACTTATAAATGGGAATGTCACTCACTTAACACTGAATCATATCTGTTTTTCCTTAGTGATAAGTCCTAGGAAGCCTAAATTTGGTATATAGGTATTCTTAGATCTTAGATGCGCACTAAGAAAGGATTTCCAACGCTCCCATTTTACCCCGTGGGGGTAAAAGGAAAGCGTTCACATATTTTTTTTTGTATCAAGATGGAGTAGTAGAAAGCCAAAAACTTTTTTCCCCAAAAATTAATCACTCCTTAAAAATATAACCCCTTCAATTCAGAAAATGTTATTGTATTTGAAATATACTATAACGATGTAACAATAAATCTTCTATTAAACAACTCGTATCAACATGGCTACCATCAACTGTTTTTTCAAGTACAGACCTGTCTCTTCCATTCCATTGATAAAGCGATAAAATAACAATTCAGTGGTATATTACACATGATATTTTTGTAGTGTATCATTCATAATAACTAGCATCGGTAGAAACAAAAATTTTCAATTACAGTACTGTCATTAGTTCTTTTGTAAATTGTTTTGATTTCTTCAAAACTCATCCAACTATTGGCATATCTCAATGATTTCGATAAGAAGATAGCCCAACACTAGAAAAGTATTTTTATACTGTATTTTCACTGTAACATGTGTTACACTTTACTTGGGTATATTTTTCGTTTACTAAGCAGGTAGATCTATAAAATCTATAAAACTTCTGCTGAAGCTACATTTTAACATTAATAGTTTGGGAATAAAATTTTCTAGATCATTTTTGAAACAAACGACTCAAAAAAATGAAGGTACATAAACTTACACTCTGTTTTCTTTTCCTTTCGTCTTGCCTTTGACATTTCTTTTATTTAATAGCTTTTTCGTCTGGCTGGACTTGGGGATGTTTTCTTCATCTGAACTGGAGCTACTGTCATTGTTATCAGTATTCTGTGTATTTTCTTGAGTTTTTTTTCTCGGCCTACCCCTCCTAATATCAGAGGATCTGATTATGGGAGTGGCATTCAAAAGGTCTCCTATTTTCTTTATTGGGCTCCCTGATAATCTTTTTTCTAAACTCAGTCTTTTAACAACAATATGGGCCATGTTTTTGTCATCACTGTAAAATAATTTTGTCTTTGAATATTTTCTATTCTTGTTTTAATTTAACTAAGAGCCTTGTCGGTACTCACCTGCCACCTCTTCTCTTTGTTACTTTCGAATCAGCCGGACTTGCTTTTGTACTATTCAAGGAAACATTAGATTTCTTATTTCTAGAACTCGAACGACAATTTGGCACCGGAGTTGATCTGAAAAATTATATCACACAATTATTGCCTTTCAAATATACCGTGTTCATTTGACAATATTGATTTTCAATTTAGGATTGCAACAGAATTCAGATTGTTATAAATTAAATTAGGAAAATCAAATATCGATATGATTTATTTAGTCTTTGGTCAATATGAAAATCACTTGTCTAGAATTTGAATACTCACGTAGTAAGGCGGGAGTTTTTAGGTTCCAAACCCAGGCTGAAAAATATTTCAGATTTATGGTGTCATTTGAACTACTACAACATCATAAAATTATCAGCGGTGGATTTTTTTTATTTTATTTGTAAAAACAGGAAACTCATATATAGTACACATTTACATTATACATAGTATATATTGATATTTAAAAATAATGACCTACATTTTTTTTGTTCATTCATTTATTTGATGCAATATATTTTTTTGCCTTTTATTGCAGAATGACCAAATTGTAATGATTGACCAGTGACACAATCAATTCTTTAATATTTATGTTATGTTTTTAAGTTAATTATTGAATTGAGGACTTTCAACCATTTCTCAATCTTTTTCATGTCATTTATATTATTTTCAATGAATTCTCATTTTTTTCTGAATTAAACAGTGCAAGATCATCTTCAAATGAGAAATTGAGGCCAAAACCGAACCCTGTGGAACACCAAAAGTTGAAACTGTTTCAAGAAATTTAAAGTTATTCATTTAATATTGAACGAAAGTGATATTTTGTGCAGGAAAATACCTTATTTGGGTAATTTCACCTTCCACAATCTGAAAAATACAAAAATTGAAATGGAGGTTGTGTTTCCAATAGAATTCACTCTAAAACCAATTTATGGTGGAATGTCTCTAACATGCAAGTCACAAAAGGCGCTTCATACTACCAATAAATATTCTACATTGAATTGTTATATCAGACTTCAAAACAAGTTGATGAATATAATGCCAAAATGACTTTGCTAATAGTCATAATAGCATTAACTGTAGTTGATTTCAGACAATCTAAAAATAAATGATTTTCTGATTTTTTATTATACATCAAAATTTATGGTGTACACTAGCATATCAACTCCTCCACCATTTGCAATCAATATAAACTAGCAGAAACGTTCGTGTATTGAATATGTTCAGAACCAATAAATGCAACAAATTTAATATGTTAATTCATGCTGTTGATTACATTTGGGCCTTGTTAATGTAAATAACCTCAAAGTATTAATCAGGCTTATCTCCGTGGTTTTGATTAAAATGTGGACTTATATGTATTATGCATACCAATACTCCAATATAAGTAGGTTTCAATTGTTTTGCATTTCATAAAACTCAAAGGATTATCATTATGCGGTTTTTTCATTACGTTATATTAAGTTCAACTGGTAAGTTCAAATTATCTAACTATTTTCACATAATGATGTATGTATCGAAATATTCTGTAGCTGCTCTAATCCACTGCTTTCCAAGGGCAGAAGAACCAATCTTTCCGAGCCCGAATATATTCAACCTTTTCAAGAATAAGGAAAATGAAGAACAAAGAGGTATGAATACAATAGTCAAACTGTAGCTTACTAAATTTAGTACTATATCTTTATTTTATCGTGGAGAACAAATCCATTCCAAAGTTCTAAATAATTTTTTCATCTTTGAAACTGTGATAATATAAGTTTTCACCATTTTTGTTCATTATGACATTGTCTGCAGAAAGATCTTTTCAATTTTTGTTTAGTAGAAATCGTTTTTCAAAAATGTATCATTCAAATAATATACATATGTTGTATATTGTTTGTATATTGTTATTGTTGTATAAAATTTTGAATATTTCAAAAACTATTACTGCTTCGATATGATATGATATCACCTTTATTGTATATAATGAGATTCGTAAAAAACGCCTCTTACTATTTTTTTCAAGAAAACACCATTTTCAGAAATGAAATACAAACTGAGTAGAGAAAAGTATCTTCTGTATAATTCAGTGTACATATAGAAGTATTTGTTTTGAAAGAATTTTTTTCTTTCGTGTAATTCAATGTTTATATGAAAGTAGCTGTTTCCGGAGGACTTTCTTTCAGTTTGTGTCTGAAAGTTACTTCTTTGCACGATCTACACATCCATGTATATAGGTACTTATTTTCAAATTGATTGCTTCCTTCCTTTCTTTGGAAGATTCCCTCATCCCTTTTTTTGTATCAAGATGGAGTAGTAGAAAGCCAAAAACTTTCTTTCCCAGAAAATTTTGTTGTCAATTCTATGTTTTCAAAATCATCTCAAAAAATCTATTCTATACAAAGCTGTGTTGATCATGCAAAGTAACTTTCAGACACGAACTGGAATAAAAAATCCTCTCGAAACAGCTACTTTCATATAAACATTGAGTTACATAAAAGAAAAATACTTTCGAAACAAATACTTTTGGTTAGCTCTATACAAAGATGTGTAGATCATGCAAAGAAACAAACATCAAACAGCTATTCTCCAATAAACTATATAAACTATAAACTCAATAAACTCTATACAAAGATGTATAGATGTATACAAAAAAGTGTAGATCATGCAAGGAACTAACTGTAAGACACAAACTGGAAAAAAACCCTAGCGAAATAGCTACTTTCTTGTGAACATTGAATTACATGAAAAAAAAAAACTTTTGAAATAAATACTTTTATACGAACACTGAATTATATAAAAAACTCTTTTTAGTTTGTATTCCCATATTTTTTTGTATAAAGATGGAGAAGTAGAAAGCCAAAACCTTTCTTTTCCATAAAATAAGTAAATTTGAACATGTCCGTTATGAAATACTGTTCTAATGAAAGTGGGTGTATTACTGTGTACAGTTGGTTTATTGAAGTGAATACAAAAGACGATATAGTATATTTAATACTATAGTAAGGTTTGGAAACAATTGTTTACCTGGATTTCCCCACGCTTCGTTCAGTTGCTTGAATTATTTTCATTTCTTTTTCTCTCAAAACAACAAATTTTCAGGTACAAATCCTATCGATGGAATCACTGATGCTTTCAAACCTTTCGCTAACGCAATTGGAGATAATAATGGCAGTATGAGAAATAGCCCACAAATATTTTTTGCTGTTACTCATGGTGTACTAATGCCGTCAGATACTGTTATGAATGCCTTTATAAATGGTTTCAAGGCATTGGGCAATAACCCCAATTTCAGAGAAGGTATACAGAATATATGGTCCTCTATATCAAAACTCGGATCCAAACCAAAGGAAGATTGAACATGCATGGAACATAATAATATTGATTTTTATATTAACTAATGCTTATATGAATATATATTTGTAGTAGAAATCAACCTTCAGCAGAAAAATAACTCTTTCTTTCAATTTGAGTTTTGAACGTTTATTGTGTTCAGACAAATACGAATTATGAGCTTCTTCATATAGAACAACAATTTATTTCCCGAGAAAAAATACAATGTTAATACTAAGGAAAATTAACAATATACAAGAAACACTTGAAAATTTATTTATAAAATATCGATAATGGAATAAGTGTCATTATTTTTGCGGGTTTGAAGGGCGTCGAGTCGAAAAGGGTCGGTATGCCGTGGCAAAAAAAAAGGAAGCAACTCCAGTGAAACTTAAGATCAAACTCTTAGCCGGCAAAGTTCTTGAAGCAATCTTCTTTGACTATTGCTATGAACGAAGGAACATTAAATGCTGCTTACTATTAGAAGCTGTCGGGTTGCAGCTTTAACAGTCTCAAAACTTAAAGATATGCAATGGACTTAATTTGATCATACTCTTTAGAGACTAGAATTAGGTACCCGATTTTCATTTGTCTGGGACACTTGAAGAATTCCCCAAGGTTCTGCGTTACCCTTTCCTGTTTCAGCTATATAATAATCATCTCTAAGACCATATTATAGCTACAGAAAGTATACTTTCCACTGAGGATACTACTTTAATCTGACAAAGTTCCAGATCAACCATAGAAGCAGATTAAATTTGGTTCACAACTAATAAGCTTAAACTGAATTGAGAGAAAATCAAAATGTTGTCATCTCCTTCTAACTCAAATCATAGAAACCATGTTAAATTACTTGCAATTCAAATCGTCAACAGACTCAGTAGGGCACTTTATATAGAGAGATCAACAGAAAATGTATCTGGTGCAACCTTTTCAATTCGGGGAATGAAGGATGATCAATCCACAAGTTCCCAGAACCCCAATTTACATACTTTCCATTATGTTCCCACACTAGAATAAAAATACTGTCTTTCGACTCATATTTCACTTAAATTAAAATTAGAAGATGACTAAAACTCAGTAATCTGGTGTGGAAAAAATCCAGTTTACATTAAATTTCACCGAGCATTTAGCAAATTACTGTATAGTTGGATATGGACACTTTACAAATCCATGGTCAGCCATATCACCAGATCTTAACCTTGTATATTTTTCCCATGGGAGTACCTTGAGAATGATTTCAGCCTGAATCTTTGGAAATACCTCTTGTTACCTTTTTCAAAATCAATTTCATTCTGGACAACAAAATGGAAATCATTTCATTAAGTCACATACGAGATACATTTAAGCACAAATTCCTCTATTCTCATTCCTTCTAAACTACTGGAGGTAAGTAAAAATATTAGCTCATAAAGATTATGTTGTGGAGCTAAATGTAATTTGGAAATCACTTACTCAAATGACTAATCACAATAAAAAATATTGTTACAATTGAGTACTTACGTTTGCATGGTATCCATTTTGGAGTTATCCAGATTCACCTTAGAAGAGTCTTGTATTCCAGATATACTAGTGGAAAACTGAAAACCCAATAATTAATTAAAAGAATGTTTGGAACCTCTATGAATCGAAGGAAAAAACTATTCCCTCACAAGAATTAAAGCACTGTCTCTTGACGCACGTTTTGCTTACATAGTTAGCATCATCTGGAGATGGTTGAAACTGTAATTGTAGTCATCTTTGATGATACTACACTGATAATTCACCAAATTTACCTTCCCTCATCAAACCCGAACACAGATACAAATACATCATGTCTAATTCACATACATTGGGTTAGTATAGACACACACGTTATTTAGTATCCATAATCGAAACGTCGTGAAGGAACTTGGTTTGAATTGTTTTTCAATTTATTTTTAATTTTTGCTTATTTTAATTTTTTTTGTATTCTTTCATTTCCTTTCACTCTGTAGTCATTTTCATTTTGTATCTTGTTTATTTTATTCATTATATTGTATTTTCATTTCAGGTTTTATTGCTTGATATAATTGATATTTAAACTATTCATTCTAATTTTACTTATTCTTTCATAGATCTCAAATCATAGTGGAATCATATTAGACAATTCAGTCCATTCTTTAATTCAGTCCTGGTATTTGTAGTACTCTTTGAATATTTTCAGTATTTTATAATTTTTTTTTCTTCTCATAAATTTCAATTCTGTTGCCAATTTTTTAGACAATCACAAAGAAATATTGTCAAGCAAATGAAAACTAAAATTCTCACAGAAAATGATGACAGACTCGAAATTTTGAGCACAAGAAAATAAGTAGTCCATTATAAATCAAAACAGTCACTTGAATTTTTTTTCCAAAGAAATCAGAGTGATTCTAAGTACCGAACGAAAATTCGGTACTCCAGAAATTGTATAAGTAACTTATTAGAAATCAAGTACAGAGTACTATCTATACTCTTCATTTTTCCAAAAAACAAGTATATAGTACTGAACTCTTACTTACATTCACTCTCAAGTATTCAGTACTGAGTAGGTAGGTAGGTAGGTAGGTAGGTCTAAAGTGAGTGGGTCTATTCGACCCTCCACCGCAACTCATAAGGTTTTATTGTGGCTCACACCTATTCACACTCGGCCAAATAAACCCAGCTTCTTAACGAAGCCGATTCGTTTATATGGTGAGTGGTCTTTCAGGTCAGATGGTGAGAGTACGGATCTGCCGAACTCAAAGAACCTGATTCGGTCCCCAGCGGGGCAGGCACAAAGTATATGCTCTGCAGTTTCATCATTTTCCAGACAGAGGCGACACACACTGTCTTCCGACAGTCCAAGTCTCTGCATGTGATGATTCAAATGACAGTGACCTGTAAGAAGGCCTGTTAGACATCGTAGTTCATCCCTACTGTAGTCCAACAACTCTTAGGAATCAAGCTTCGAAGGGTGAATAAACGCCTTGGAGTGAGCCAATCCTGGAAGATTCTGCCAGAAGTCCATAACTCTTCTTGCCATCCAGGTGTTCAGTGTTTGTTTGGCAAAGCCCAAAGCGATGCCAATGACAGGTTCTGGTCCAATGAAGCCGCTTGCAGCATCCTCCTTTGCAAGAGAGTCAGCAGCTTCATTGCCTTCCAGGCCAGTATGGCCAGGAATCCAGACCAGAGACAATCCTATCGAGGAGAGTATTTTTTGGCATTTTGCTACCAATTTAGACGTTGCTCGGTAGGAGCTAAGAGCTTCCAACGCTGCTTGACTGTTCAAGAATATTTTTATTGACTTGTGAGTGAGGTTGGATTCATCCAATCTCTCCGCACACAATTCAATAGCGTAAATTTCCGCTTGAAATACAGTCGCATAAGTTCCTAGGCAGGTAGATATCTCTGTCCTGGGTCTGCGACTGAAAACACCTGCACCAGAACCGGAAGGTGTTTTCGATCCATCTGTGAACCAACAACTATCTGCTCTTGATATTTCCTTCTCCCGCAGGATCCAGTCCTCTCTACTCGGGAATAGTACTTTATAAGGCAGTTCGTAGTTGACAGTTGGAGGCATAAAGTCAGAGGTCATTTCCAGAATGCTGTGACTTCCAATATCAACCAACAGTCTGTTACACTCTTCGTTGAATTTATTTGTGCAATTGGCAATGTGCACAAGTCTGTATGCAGTCCATCTAGCCTCTCTTTCCAGAAAAATGTGGAGAGGAGGTAGATCTAGAAGGATCTCCATGGCCGCTGACGGTGTGGTACTGATGGCACCACTGATAGTCAGACAAGCCTGTCTCTGTAAGCCAGAGAGCTTCGCTTCACCATAAGTGATCATTGGTCTGACAATCATCACACAAATCCAATGGATTTGTTTGGGACCTACACTCCAAGTTTTACCACAAATCCTTCGACATCTCCATAGAGACAGTCTGGCTTTGTGTAAAACTTTTTCCAAGTGAGCGTTCCAGGTGAGTCTTTTATCAAGGACAATGCAAAGATATTTCACCTCCGTTCCAAATAGAATGACCACCACACCATTGAGGGAAAGTGGCGTTAGATCGTCCAATTTCCTTCTCTTGGTGAAGGGGATTAACAGTTTTGCTGGGGTTAACAGACATCTGCTCCCTCAGGCACCAACTCTGAACAACGTCCAACGCGCTTTGGAGGATATTACAAGCAACCGTTCCCGACGTGGACCTTGCCAGGATGACATGGTCATCTGCATAAGATTGCAGATCAACTTTTTTATCTGTCGAGGGCATCAAGCAGACTATCCACCAGGAGCGACCACAGAAGGGGAGATAGTACCCCACCTTGAGGGCAGCCCCTGGTGACCCTGAACCTGATAGCCTCGCCTTGAAGAGTCGTAGTTGCAGTTTTGTTTACTAGCAAGGCATAGATCCAGCCAGTTATGGTCGATTCTATACCCTTTCTAGCCAGAGACAATCCTATAGATTTAGGTAGTGCATTGTCAAATGCTCCTTCAATATCAAGAAATACAGCAACCGCAATCTCCTTGTTGTCGAGGGATCGGGATATTTTCTCAACCAGGTTGTTTATTGCTGAATCTGTCGATTTGCCGGTTTGATAAGCATACTGATGGTTATTAAGGGGGATGCATATAATGTTACCTCCTGATATGTCCGTCCAGTATCCTCTCAAGTCCTTTTAGCAGGAAGGATGTAAGGCTGATTGGTCGTAACGAACTGTGAATAGTACTGAATCCGTCGTCAAAGTACGATTGGAGGGCGTTTCTATATCCCCTCCAGTCAGTAGATTTTGAGTCATGATATTCCACTACTGAGTACTTCATATTTTTAAAATACCGAATACTGAAATTGAGTAACCATTATTCAAAGTACTCTATTCTCAAGTTCTAAGTTTCAAGTACCAACTCTTTCTCCTTGCTACAAACAGTTTCGAAAAAGAATAAAAAAACTTCTGCTAGATAAAGCTTATTATACTATTGAGGGATTTCTTTCGGATGACTTCGCAACTTATAATTCCAACTTATGCCTGTTTTGTCAACACATAAAATGTTTTATCACAGACTTTTACCATAAACTTTTTGAAGTGTGCTTGAGCCATATTGATATCTTGTTTTAAATTCTTGACCATGATATCAATGTTTCAGATTGTTTCAGTTCTTAAGCCTGCTTTGTCAACAAAACCTAAACTTTTATGACAATAAAGCATTTCTGACTCTATCTCAATAAATATTTATTCTGTGTCATAGTTTAAACTGATCGATAGAGAATTTTGTACTGCATACATTGATGCTGATATGTTTTTTCAAAACTTTAATTTTTTACCTCTCTTCGGCTATTTGCCTGTCGTTAGGCGATTAACGCCCATATTTTTTTATACAATTTCAAATTGAACCAGAAAGCTGCCGAGAAAGCCCAAAAAGTTACCCAGGCATTTGACAATGATAGTGTTAATAAACGCACTGTTCCACATTGGTTTGCGAAACTTCTGGAGAACTGATCCTCGAAGATGAATACCGAAGTGGTCGACTTACATAATCCAGGACAAGGATTTGACGACCCTGGTGGAGACTGACTCATCACAAACGATGCATGGGATTACGGAAGAACTGGGCGTCAGCTCCCATGTAGTTTTTGATGGTTTAAAACCTATTGGAAATGTCATAAAGCTCGAAAAGTGTGTGCCCCACGATTTGAACGATCGACAGAAATTGTCCCGTTTCGAGGTGTGACTTCTTTGCTTTTGCGCAACCAAAATGATCCTTTTTTTGATTATGAGGTCCGGCTAATAAATAACGAGACTGCGTGTCTGGAGGGCACCCTAGAGGGGTGGGGAAAAACGAGTAGTGCGTTGGGCATCTGGAAATCTTCTCTATTCACGTACCAAAACAAGTTTTTGTCACTATTATAGTATTTGTGCAGTAGCGGTTTGAAACGAACGTGTTTTTTTCTCGTGCCGAAAATCTTATGTGACGAAAAACAGGAGCAACGTATCAATCTCAAATGTTTCGTTAAATTGAAAAAAACTCCGACTGAGTACTATAAATTTTTGCAAGAGGCCTATGGGGACAATTCTCTATCTCGTGCGCGTGTTTATGAGTGGTGCAAACGCTTCAGTGAGAGCCGAGAGAGCACTGAAGATGACCAGCGCCCAGGTCGTCCTGTCACTGTTTCAACTCCGGAAACAGTGACCAAAATCAACCAAATTGTGCATGCAGATCGTCGAATGAGCATCCGGATGATTGCCGAGGCTGTAAACGCCGATAAAGAAACGGTTAGAAAAATTTTACGCGAGGAATTACACATGACAAAAGTCTGTGCGAAGGTGGTGCCAAAAAACCTGACTCATGACCAAAAGTTCTTGCGTCAACAGGTCCGCTCAGATTTCCTTGCGACGAAACGTGGATTTTTCAATACAATGTTGAAACAGAGCGGCAATCGATGCCTTGGAAGACGCCTGAATCGCCCAGAATAAAAAAAGCAAGGATGTCCAAATCAAAATTCAAGGCAATGTTGATCGTTTTTTTTTTTCAACATCAACAGTATCGTGATGACTGAATGGGTTCCAGAAGATCAGACTGTCAACCAGACTTACCATTTGTCAGTTTTGGCAACACTGCGAGAACGAGTTCGTAAAAAACGGCCCGAGTTGTGGAAGAACAACTCGTGGATTTTGCACCAGGACAACGCACCTGCCCATAACGCGGTATCTGTGAAGCGGTATTTGGCCGATAAACGCACTCCAGTGCTAGAACAAGCGCCGTACTCGCCAGATTTGGCACCGTGAGACTTTCTCTTGTTTCCAAAGATAAAATCTGCTTTGAAGGGTCCCGATTTGAGTCGATGGAAGCGGTAACGCAAAAAAAGGCAGAGCTCCAAAAGGCCCTCGCCAAAGAAGACTTCCAGCACTGCTTCGATCAATGGAAAAAACGTATGGAAAGGTGTGCGGTGAGGGATAAAACCCTTTTTCGTAACCAGTATAACGTTAAAAATGACTTTTCAAAATAACAAGTAAACATTCTGAATGATACCTGAAAGTGTGTAACAATTTGAAACTTCAAATAAAAAAAAATTCAATCATTTTTGTTATTTCTCTGTTTTTGTCTGTAAATAGAGTGGCGCCCTGTCGAAGAGCACCCACATTTAATGAACCCATGACTCGCTCCCTAACACCAGAGCTGCCGTGCCTATAACACTAACATTCAAAACGCACAACAACAAGTTTAATTTAAAATGGAGTTATACCAGTCTCGTTATTTAATAGCCGGACCTCTCAGATCGTCACGTATGATGAAAAGTGGATCCACTACAACAACAGAAGACTTTTAACAAAACACAAACACTACAGGAAAATCCTTAAGGCGCTCTAAGAGCGGTGCCTGTGCGAAAGTAGCGATTCACATTGGATTTGAATCGCTGGAGATTAAATCCATTTGGAGTAACGTTCTTCTCGAAACGATGAGCAGTCACCGTCTGTCGCGTATTTCTGATATGTATCGCTCCTGGTGGAATCAAATGTGCCAAGTCACTTGAACACTGCCCGTGAAAATATCTATAGAAGAGAGACAAATGTCCAACCTTTCTTCGATGTTCCAGACTATCAAGGTTGCAAGTGATGCTCGCGTCTCCAATCAGGCGGATGGCTCTTTTCTGGATGGAATTCAGCAGCTTCAGGGTATGCTTAGGGGCGGAGCTCCATACATGAGAACAGTACCCCAAAGAAGGTCTGATCTGAGCTTTATAAAGCATCAAAAGTTGTTAAGGTGTGTACAGTTTTCTGGTTCGGAACAGTGTTCCAAGCTCTTGAGAAGCAGCCTTTGCAATTCCAGCGACATGATTGTGCCAAGATATATTGGTCTCCGTTTTAACCCCCAACAAACTTATCTCTTAATTTTTCATTTTTTGTTTAATTGTCCTATTTTTTACTTGTATTTTATTTCACTGTAATTTCATTTCAAGTTTTTTTTGCTTTATATAATTGTTATTTTCAGCTATTCTTTTTAATTTTTTCATTTGTATTGGTTCTTTCAGGGATTTCAAATCATTTTATATAATATTAGACAGTGGAAGTCTGAACTAATGAAATTCATCATGAAACATTGTCAATCACTTTCAAACAAACATTAATTTCACTTACCGACATAGTAGTAGTCGAATCGTATTCAAATTTCTGAGGGGTACTGTTCAAATTTTTATGACTGCCACGCTCTACCTGAACTTTTTCAACCTCAGATTCTTCTAACTGGCTACAACTAGGTTCTCCGAAATAGGTGGATTTTCTTTTGGTAGGTGAGCTTTTGGAACTCAAATTTTGTGATTCTCCTGTAGAGCTCATAAACTTCATTGTACTCTCAGGACTAGCCAATGTTTCATTCAGAAGTGTATTATTTGGATCTAGCTCCGAAGTGCTAGGTTCACCTGTGACCGAGGAAGTTCGAGTCACATAATGCTCCATATTTTCCCACTGGTTGATGTAATCCTTAGGCAAAGGATCGAGAAATATCCTTATCTGGAAAATGAAATAGTCACCATTGCGGAATTAGCTACATAAAAGTGTATTACTTACCTCTCGAACTCTGTCTGATATATTAGTCTGACTTGTGTTCAGAGATCGTAAAGTAGAGTTATAGGCTTCTTCTTCTTCCTCTTGTATTGTAACCAATCTAGAACTGGATAC